TCCTAGCATTTTTTTTATACAGACAGTTTTACTGAGACCAGAGTTTTCATTAACAAGAGCTACTGTATATGTTGGCACATACATGTGCTTAAAAAAATCTAAAAGCAAAATAGAGATAAATAGAATATCAAAGAACAAGAGCAATAGCTGCAAACTGCAAAGCATGATGAGAAATAAGTTGTAATAAATGGTGATAAATTGTACCTATCAAAAATGCAAAATATCCATGTAAATACTGATAATATTACATTACATTCATTACCTATGTAAAGATAATGGTGAATAGATGGAAATATTAAAGTATATAAAAATTCTCTATAAAATAAACTATGGTGGCACTAACCCGATAAACGTACTTGCATGTCTGAATATAACTGGATGTAATATTCAGTATTGATTTAGATCAATTGAAACTAGCTTTTAACACCTAGATGATTAAACAATTAGAAAACCAGATGTTAACATTTTCAGATTTCTTCTTCATTTAAATATTGTATTTCAAAAGTTATAATGAAATCTTTTATTACATTATTGAAGTTAAAAAGTGGTCAAATTATGTTTTCACTTTTTAACTCTCATTGTGAGAGAAAGTACTTAATGCATGAAATTATGTCTATAGAGCAAAAGCTTAATAAAATTGGCCCCACTTTTATTTATTTTTGTTACCAACAAATGTAATACTTTTCAGATTGTGTGATTGGTGTTGTACATTTACTTCAGTTATTGTTTTTTATTTTATTTTCTAAGTTGTTATAAATGGTAGTGAACTGTACCTATCAAAAATGCAAAATATCCATGTAAATACTGATAATATTACATTACATCCATTATCTATATAAAGATAATGGCGAATAGATGGAAATATTAAAGTATAGAAACGTTATCTATCAAATAAAATATATAAAATATAATGATATTTGTATCTCTTTATATCTAAAAAGTAACCACATTTTTTATTTTTTTTAATATTTGGGGAGCTTTTTATGGTCCAATATTTGGAGTGTTTTGGTATAAGAAAAACTAAACAAAAAAAAACTACATTTACTGCTCATACATCACCAGGACATTTTTACCAGCTCAAAAATTAGAATAGTTTATAAGAAAGTGTTAGGTGGCAACCCTGCTTAATTTTGATGCTAGTCTTTGTTTCTTTTTAATAGCTCACCTTTGTGAAAATAAAAAATCACAAAGGTTTTTTTTGTTGCAGTTTGAGTGTGTTATGATTGCAGTAACCCTGTTCCCTCAAAGTGCCACAGCTCCAAACCAATACTTAAAATAAACATTTTTTGCACAAAACCTAATAGAGAACTAAATGTTATATTTATTTATAAAAAAAAAAATCAACTCTTACAGTAAGTTTCTCACACATTTCTGAGTCAGTCTTGTGAAATGCATAATCAAAAGCAGAGTGTTTTTCATTAGCCCTTAAGAAAAATTGCTCATACAGAGCCAGTTAGTTTGTGAATACTAAAAAAAGAGTTTTATTTTAACCTAAGCGTTTAAACAAAAAATGTATTCATAACAAGATAAATTTTGCAATAAAGCATATATAATTATATAAATCTAAAGAATTGTCAAGACAAATAATATGCATCACTATGACGGAGTGGCAACTCTTGTAAGCCCCCACCTTTAGATGCACCCATTGACATCCCTGGCTTATTCTGCAAGTTCCCAACAGTTCTTAGCCCCACAAGCTGTAATATTTAGCATCTCAGATCCAGTCAAGCCACATTTATTGCTCTGTTATTGAAAGATTCCTTACTACCTGAGCAAACTCTTCCCTGATGATGGTAAACTTCTCCTGAGTCTGCAGGCTCTGTATCCTCCATAGAGGAGATATTCAAATGTTGATTCAACCACCATCTTTTTAAAAAAATTGTCTCCACTTAATGGTTTTTAGAAGAGGTTTTCTTCTGATGAAACCACAGAAGCTGCAGTCCTTCTGGTCATCTGGTACCTGTCAGCTGTTTCAGGACTCACCAAGGAGAACCAAGGGCTGTTGCTTGGTCACAGCACCCTTATTTATCATGTCTTTTTCTGGCTTCCATTATTAGTTTGATTTAATTTTCTGAAAAACTGTATTTAGTTTTTTTTCTTTAACTCTGAGCCATAATCATCAAAACTAACAGAAATAGACATTTGAAGCATTAGCTGGTTTTTGTGCCAAATCTTCATATTTTTAACTTTTTTCAAGTAATTTACTAAAATAAAACAAACATTTATTATTTATTTATATTCCAATGTACTGAACTCCAGCAGTTAATTATGAGTGAAGACCTTTAGATTTAGACATAATTTCTTTAAAAAGTAGCTCAAAAAAAAAAAAAAATAAGATGGTTTTGATTTACTGTCACTGGAACATAAAGTATTTATTTCAACAGCAAACACGTTCAGTTCACTCCCACTGAATAGACTGACTGAAGTCTGAGGTACCATAGCACTTCTCACATCACACTGAGCTAATCAGTAAAAATGTGCAGGGGTAATCAGCCTCAAGTCGAGACACTGTTGTGTTTTAGCATCTATGTTTCTCGTGTTGTAAACCAGCTCTCTGATTGGTTAAAGGCTGCCATCATTGAACCTTTTGATGCCTGTGATACAGTTTCACCGTATGAAACTGTGCCTAAGTTCTAATTTATTTATAGCTAGGAGGAGAAGCTGATTCTTCGGCCAGATGTTGTCATGTTCAGTGTCATTTCTCCCGGGACAGGGTTCTGCCTGTTTTAGATATTTTTCTGCTTTAATGCCTCTGAATCAAATAATGGCTAATTAGCAGGACTCTACAGAACTTTAGGAAATGAGAGTTAAGGCAATATTTCAGTAAATGTACTGGAGTGAGAAAGACATAAAACATGCAGGACACTGACCCATACAGTCAGACTTGGACAAACCTGGTTTAGAGGCAGTAGTTCAATTCTAAAAGCAAAAAAACAAATCAGTTACTCTGCATTTCAGTTGTCTTAAATAAATTCTGAGGCTTATATTGCTGTAGTTTTCCCCCCATTTTGTCCCACCTAACTATCTTATCAGATATATTTTAATACAAGACAGATAACCAAGGTTTATTTAAAAAGCAATTTATGCTTACATGTTTTTTGGTTAGTACTGAAACAGGGCTATTGAAACCAATCCAATACAACAGCTCCCCAACATAAAAGCCATGTGACGTTGCCTGGTGGCTAAATTTAATCTGAGGTAACTGGCAAGGTGTCTACATCTCTGTATAGAAATCCTCTTATTTATAAAATTGTTTTAAGTTACTCAGATTTCAAATTTGTGTTTTTTTCTTTTGTTTAATTTCAGCCATTAATAGGACAATTCCCCTACTGAATAATTTGTTATTTATTCTATTATATAAAGTAGCTCCGTCCCATAAGACTATCTATTTTAGATTGGCATGTTTTTCTGCAATATAATGGATTTTTTTTTTTTTTTTGCCAGATGCACACCTTTTAAAAATTCCACCTTTGTATTATTAGTTCAGAAGATATTTTCCATCGTTAAGACCAGGGCTGCGCACAGTCTTTCTTTAAGAGCCATTCTCCTGCAGGTTGTAGAGGTTTCACTGCTTTAGCACATCTGATTTCCATTGATAGCTGATTAACAGGCTTTTGCTGAACTGCAATCATCAGGCGGTGACTGATGCAATCAGCTGTGGATTCTATCTTGACACTTTCCCCAAGATGCAGTTTTTGCTTGTTTTCTTTTTTATGAACTCTAAGCAGAACAGATGCTATAGAGAACTGCAGTGGTTTAAATGCTTTGGGTTGTTAAATGACTTGGTGGATAAGTCTTCAATACACACAGAGTAATTCAGGGAGGCAGTCCACTAAGTTTTATCTCAATTTTAGGTTTTCTTCATTTGAGTCTCTGTGGCCTACTGGCGCTTTGGAGCTCTTTCAGACTCCAAAATGACTTTGGTCCTTGTTCTTAGATGTCTTCAGTTCATAAAGGGTTGATTTTTAGAGCTTTTAACCTACTTGATGTTGTCAGATGGGCTATGTTGAGTGAATCCTTGATTCTATAGGTATTTAAGTAATTAGTCATGACAAGATTGAACTCAGTTGTCCAAGAAAATTCGGGCAATATCTTATTTTGCATTAGACCAGGCTAGTTTAAAAATGCATTTTTAATCTCCTAAAAATGCAATGCTTATTTCAAAAAGACTAATTCTATGTATTTAGTCATGTAAAAACTGCATAATATAACAATTTGTTATATACTGCGATGATAGAGGGAAAAAAAAACAAAGAAAAACATTTATTGGGGTAAAGGTGCAAATGCTGCATGACGTACAAGATTATGTAAACTAAACAGGATTCAAATCAAAAAATTGTAAATATACTCCAAAGTTCCTTCTGCAAAAGTTGTTTATTTGTTTAAACAACTTCACTCAGTATTAAGAACTCAAACAAAGCTATATATCTGACCTTGTTTGGAACAGGCTTAAAAACAGTGAGCCTTCAGTGTTTTGACAAGTTAAATGTTTTGGTGTAATTTACTGTGCTTTGTAATTAGCTTTGAATGTTATTTTTTTCCCTCTTAGCAATTATCCATGTTGAGAAAAGGTTTGAACATAGTGGTTGCAATCAGATTCCACAGCTTACAATAGCTGGCTGCTTCCCCCACAGCGTTGTAAAGGCTGACCAGTGTAAACACTTTAAAATAATTGTGCAACACAACAAAAAGTGCATTATAGGGCCAGGATAAATACATCATCATTATTTGGGTCAGATGGTTATAATTATCCCAAGAACAATGTGAAATTGCTGCAATTATAATGCAAATGTTTTGAATGTATTCATTTGAAAGGGTAACATCTTTGTAATCCCTGTATATAAAAGAAAGTTTGAGAAAAGGTTAAGAAAAGATTTCTCTTCCGCCAAAGATAAGACCTCCCAGTGATCTATAAATGATTACAGAAGAAAAAAATCCACAATGATGTATTGTTCTTTCCAACAAAGAAACTGAGATGCATAAAATGAAAACACAATGCCTCATTATCATTATGTGTTCCTTTATTTCAGATCTGATAGGTGGGACGGCATGAAAACCACAATCATCTTGTATTGATTTAGCGGGAACAAATCCTGCCGACATCGCTGCCGTAAACACACATACATGTTTATTCGTAAGCCACACACAAACAGCATGGAGAAGCGGCGGGGCTAATTTGCTTAGAGGAAATTAATTAGTTATTATTAGGGAGAAAACAACGGAGCAGAGGTGGGGTGTTTAAAGGCGTGACGTTAAAGAGGAAACCTGTCATGGAACAATAGGCCAATATCCACCCACCGCTCTCAGCTACTGCTCCATTACTTTATCACACAATAGGAGACGTTCCGCATCTATGAATGCGAGGAACTTGTGCAGTTTCTGATTAGTTCCTCCATCTGAACACTCAGTCGTGACTCACAGCTGAGGTTGGGGTTGTATATTTATGTGCACATTTCTAATTAAGCCGATATTTCAGCATTAAAGGCTTCACCTAGTATGCCGTTTGCTGTTGACATGTTTTCTCTTGATGATCCCAAAACCTAATTAGTGAATTAAATGCAGATATATGGCTTGCTAGTACTTCTATCCTCCCTATGTAGGTCTACTTTACTGTTGGGGTTTGTGGTCAACAAAATCCTCTTTATCCTGTTGTTTTTTAACTTCCTCAAAGCCACTTCTTCAGCACGGCCAAAGCAGAGTTGAAGGTGAACTGGGCCTGGTGAGTACCGCGGTGAGCGAGCAGCAGGGAGCCCGCCTCTGGCCTGTGGCCCGCCGCCATCAGGTCCGCAGCAGCCTTCTCCACGTCCCAACCACCCTCCTGTTGGTTGGACAGCATGTGGGAACAGAGCAGGGGGTACAGAGCCGAGGACACACAGCCCACTAAGAGGCCCGCGTCCAGGAGCAACGAAAGCAACTCTGTGTCGCAGGAGGCGGCAGTTTCCTGTAGTGACAAAAAGAAAGGGTCAAACAAGTGTAAACAGACACATAATAAAAGCTGAATGATACAAACTACTTTTTTGAGGACTGTTAATCTATATAGAAATCATAAAAAAACAAGATGTTATCAGCTGTCTTTAACATGACTAAATGAGATCCTGAAAGATAAACTGGCTTTAACACAATAAAACCACAAAAATCAGTGTATTTTATTGGTGTTTAATTGTCTGTTAGAACAACGGAACATCATGCAAAATTGAAGAGGATAAATTTAACATTTTCGTTACAAATAATCATCTGAGATCTTTACTTTAATGCCTCTAATTACAACCCACTAAAGGTATTTTCAGTAGCACCTAATTAGTAAATCAAAATCCCCTGTGTGCAATTTAATCTTGATGTAAATAAAGATATTTATTAGGGTGTTTTCCCACTGGAGGTGTTTAGTTCACTTTAAACTAATTCTGGCTCATGTCCCACTTGGTGCAGTTCGTTTGTGTAGAGATTAACACAGCAGTGATGTCACAGTATGGACTAATACAACCATCCCTAAACGCTTGCAGGAATTGTACTTGATAGGTGTTTGAGCAAACTAAAGCTGTTAATTGGCTGCACTGGAAGCTTGAGCCAAATATCTTCCTATAGCCAGGTAACTACTGCATTGTTGGATATGGTACAAATCATTTTTTACAAAGGCTATGCGTCTTTTTATAAAGCATAAAGCACAATTTAACCTCAAACACTTTTTCTTAGAATCCATTTTGAGGACAAAATCACTTTCGGTTTACATTCGGTTGTCTTGCTCCTGACCCCAGATAGACTGAAAGCTCTCTCTTAGTTTGCATGGGTTTAGGTTGCAACAACTGGAAAATATTAAAGCGTAAACGAATGAATCAACGACTTGAACCAAAATAGAACACATAGAGGTGGGAAATATATCTAACAGTAAAAGAATCAAAATTAATAAACTGAATCAGAAAAGCCTGCAGACAGGTTAGAATGAAAGATGCAGAGAGATTTTGAGCAGGGTTAGGTTATGACACAATGCATGTGTTTTCATTCTTTTGGTTTTATGCACATTTTAAAATGATGGAAACAGCTACAAGTGAGGTAAGTGAGGAGGAAAACTTGACAGTGCACATCACCTTGAAAACCAAAATGAATTACGGTGATGTCAGCATCATGATGAAAGGATACAATTTATTTTATGTTAAGAAGAGCAGAGCTAAGGTTTTATTAGAAGATGGATGGATGGAGTTAAGTCCAAGGTAAACCTGTAATAAAAATGTAGAAATGCTTAGGACAGGGATGTTTCTCCAGCTTCCAGCAGGATGGATTAAAACACATCCAGAGCTGCAATAAAGTGCTTTAGATCGAGAAATTCCCATAATAAAATTTAAAAACCACAGAGCAATATAAATATGCCAAAACTTTAAAAATTGACGATTGAAAAAATGCTCAAACAACTCTGGATAAGCCCAAAAACCTTACAGATGTAGTTAATGTGACTAAGAAAAACATTTACTTATATGGGGAATGAATAACATAAAACAATTTCAAGTGTTCCTACTGTAGTTTGTGTTTCTGCAAAAAATTTACCTTAAAAAAAAGTCCAATTGGTGTGGATACTTCTGGAGGACATTGTAAAAAAAAAAAAAAGAAAAAAAGTGGCTGTTGAAGCACTGGAAACATTTCTGCATCAGCAGCGCAATGTGAGAGCTGTAAGTGATTACAATGTCCCATGCTTGACAAAACCTGATGGGGTCACGGTGTCGCATCACATCTTCCACTGACCCGGAGGCTGACCACCACTCGCTCTGGGAGGAGCCCTCTCATGCACACACTTCTCTACAGTCACTTTTGATTTCAAGAGGAACAGTCAGCCTCCAAAGGAAGAATAGTAAACACACAAACCAACCTCTATGTAATATTTTAATCACATCATCTGCCTCCTTACATCAGTCAATTACATGCAAATTCCACCCACTAAATGCTGCAGTGAGTAGTGTGCAGGGCATGGAACAGCTCAGGGTTGAGAGGCCTTCTCTCTGCCTCTTACTGTGACTCAGCCGTTCTCCTCTGTGACCCCTCACCTGTTTGCTCCCTCCATTATTAAGCTCACACTTTGTGCAGCTTTACACATGGGAGCAGAGACAACTGACAGTCCTTGTCGGTGTATTTCTGGAGCTGAAGCAGATCAATTATAAATGGTGGCCCCATGTTTTGTCCTCTTTTTGTGGAGATGGCAGATGAGTTTCAGCTCCCTTCCTACATCTAAAATATCCCTGCACTTTGTGAGCCTCCCCCCCACCCCCATCTCTTGCTTTGAGGACAGTTCATCCTTATAAAAAGCACAATAGATGGAATGATGGGGACTGTGTATTTCACAAGAGACTTGACAAATATTTAGCTGCTGTCACTGATGATGACAGAGCCGTGGTAGAAATACTGATCCAGACAAGATCTCCAAAAGCATTAGTATTCAGGATTTGTCTGCATTTTTAGTTCAAGTAGACCAAAAGTGCACGGTTACTTTGGGACTGAGGGATGACAGAGCTGACAGATAATGCTTTTGGAGATATAGTTCTGTATGTCATGCATGAGTAATAATTTAATTTCTGGGCTTTCCATTGACAGACACGAGGGGATGAATAGTGACAAGTTGGAGCAGGGGGGACAGAGATGGACGACGAGGTCATTTCAACTTAATGACAATTAAAAGACGAAAGAGAAAGAAGTTGGAAACCAACGATAAAGGAGATGAGCCTAAAAGAGAAGCACTTAAAGCAGCTGGTGGTACAATGGTTTCCGGGAGCTCAAAACACACCAGAAACAAAGTGAACCATTTCAAAATACCTTCACACTTTGGATCAGACCTTTACATTTCTTTGCCCCAAAAAATGTTCAACATCGTACGTAAGCTGGTGAGTATGTTGATCTATTTTGAAAGCTAAGAAAAAAGTAAAGACAAGAAAGGTACATTTAATGTAAGTAATGTTTGGACAGTGTGTCTAAATAAATCTCAGCAGTGTTGATTTTTCTTAATTTGCCTAAACTGTTTTTAAGAAGCAACTGCAGTGTGTCTCCTGGATAACTAGTTACATCATTTGAATTTGATGTTTCTTTAAGGTTTGAATTGACATGTAGGAATGATTGATCTGACCGTTTTGGAAAGTAATGGAGACAGATAAATCAGACTTGGGTAGTAACTAAACCAGTTTGACTAGTAAGGTGCGATGACAGTTGCGGGGAACTGGTGCCTTATAAATAAACTGAATTGCATTTATTGTAAACGATCCTGTTATGGAAAATCATAAAAACTGCCCATTGACAGCTGGAGATAGGCACCAGCACCCCTCGCGACCCCAGCAGGGATAAGCCTGACAGAAAAAGGATGGATGGATGTTTTAACCACAAGATTGGTTGGACACATAACTTCCAATCAGATTAAAATACTATGGAAAAATTATTATTTTTGAATAAAAATGACTAACACCTTTCATTTTGCTTATCACTGCCACATTTGCACTAGCACTTTCACTGTCTGCTTGAAGCTATGTCACTAAAATGACAACTGAACAACAAATGAAAACGGTGCATCTTAAGAGTGTTGTCTCCTAAGAAATTTTATGCACACAAAAACATGACAAAAGATTTAATTATACCAATCATTAACTATTTCACAGGACTTAAATGGGAAACATCACAGATTACATTGCTAACTGTAGGTATGCATTCACATGAAGCTTTATGAACTCTGGGGATTGTTGAAGCAATTTGGCCAAACGGTTCAATGCCTCATGAGGCTTCATCTCACCATCACTAGTAGACAGGTGTCTTTATACAGCTAACGACCTAAAACAGGTGCATCTAATTTAGGATAATAAATGAAGTGGAGATGGACATTTTAAAGGCAGACTAACAGGTCTTCAAAGGTCAGAATTGTAGCTGCTAGACAGATGTTCAAATAATTATTTGCAGCTATATCATAAAACTAAATATTTTTTTTAAAATCATATATTGTGATTTAAGGGTGTTCAAATACTTATTTTGCCTGAGTATGTTTATATACAGTATGCATATATATATATATATATATTAGTTTCTACTGTTCCAATTTTTGTCCTTAGTAATGCTTCCTTATATTTTTGCTTGCCATTCGCTATACAATGCTAATACAATTATTCTACTTTAGGAGTAATTTCAGACACTTGCAATGACCAGTGGAGTTTATGATTGGTGCATCACCTTAATGCCACTTCTACCTAAAACTGAAAGACAAAGATAATTCATAACATTAAGCTAAAACCTTTCATGTTCTTCACAGTTAGTTGTTACAGGCAACTGTAGAACTCACCAACATCTGAATAAGTCATATTTTATAGATTAAATCCTTAATAAAATATCATGTTCTTTTATAACATGCTGTGTCTGTGCTGCCATTTAGCAGACCACACAAAATTACGAACGTAACCTGATTCGAACTCAAAGATAAACCTGAATCACTACAGTTTCTGTTCAGTTTAACTGACACTGTGATCTAACGTCAGACAAGAGGTGAGTGTGCTGCTGATGTTTGAGATGTTACACCTGCAGGGTTAGGAAGGGAACAAATTGGAGTTCCAGCAGACAGGAGCCATATTACAGTCAGCCAGGATGGGCCTCATAATGCACAAATGTGTGTGTGTTTTTTTTGCAGGAAACTGTGACCAATGCATAAATATTGTAACACAATTCTGTCTTTCTTTCATAATATTGTTTATTATGGAAGTGTTCAACAGACCTCCAGAGCAGAATGCAAGCAATGGCTTCAAACCTTATACTCTCAGACACACAAACGCACACACCCCTATACCTCCCAGGCTATTACAGTTTGACGGTGTCAAGAGAGACAGCCGATTTCAGTCTTAGACCCAGCCGGATTGACAGCTGAGCTGAAAATAGATGTGAAGAAGCATGTGAGAAATGGAGGGCTGGGGTGGAATCTTGATATTAGAGCAGCAC